CAGACAGAAAGGAAATGGCAGGATGTATATGTGTCTATGTGTTTTTATCTGTTTGTGTGAGAGAGAGAGCAACCCTAAATAGAGTGAGTAAGGCAGTTAGGCTGTGGTTCTGCTGTTACTGGTACACTTCACAATACAATCTGTCTTGCTGAAGGCAGCCTGTGCTTTCTCTTGTACTGATTACAGTTCATATTTTTTGGGGCGGGTTATCTTACTTCAGAAAACAGCAGGCTCTACCTCAAGTCAGTTTCAAAGCCCTATCCTGCCCTCTGGTGGTGGGTTCTGATCAACAGAGGTTTTATTTTGCTGCCTTCAAACTATGATGGATTTGTGTAGCTACTAATGAAGTTACGTATGCGTCACATCCAAATTTTAAACTCTCCCTTAATCCAGTAGGGTATATTGGCATTGGAAAATGTATATTTACAACCCATATATGAAAACATAGGTTGCAAAAAACATGAAAAAACAAAGTTTAGTACTTGACTGAAATGACAGTGGAGAAGAAGATGCATCAACAGCATATAGATCTAAATATCTTTTGGTAAATTAATTACAATAAGGTGGTAAAAAATGAGGTTTTGGAGGGGATCTTGATACAAAAAAAACGAGATAAAACCAAATTAATTATTTATTAACTGAGTTATAAACTCATAGGAGTGAGGAATGGAAGTCTTGATGTGCTGATTTTGTTATCTTTTGGGCAACCCTGGTTTTTTGGGGTTTTTTTTGGGGGGGCGGTGTGAAAAGAAATAAACCCAACCTCAGCAGCAAAGTAAAATAAAATAACATTTTTCCTGCATACAGTCACTTTATATTTATATTTAACTGAAAAAAAAGTAATTGTGTCATGTGCAAAAATTTGGATGCCCTTCCTGTTATGAAGTCTCAGAATTTTGAAACTGATTAGGACTCATTAGGCAGGTCAAGAGTAGTCAAAAAATTGTCAGCAAATGATAATACCAGAGCATAATACATTCACAGACTTCCCGACCCTTGTGCAGTTCCAGCTCACATTTTCCACTGTCTGAAATGCCATTACGAAATGGCAGTTAAGGCCTAGAAAACCAAAAAAACTCTCACAACTTGTCCTAGGAGCACTTGCTCTGCTATTCTAGCTCAAAAAGATAATACAGTGCAGAAATATAATTCAGACATTTCCTGAATCTGTAGAGTCTGATTTTTCGATTCCGTCTTATCGTGAGATCGTATGTGACTCGCATCCAGAGTTATGAGGCTATGCCTCTCACTGTGTGTAATTGGTGGATTCCTATGGTTCCTCTGTCTTTTATGTGAAACTGACCAATGGACACTCAGGAAATCACTCAGGAAATCACCCATCATATTGGAAACCTTTCAGTCCACATCAGAGATATGGGAAATGGTATGAGTTTACAACCGCTGAAGTTGCTGCAGCTGTTTTGAGAAGTAGCAACAAAGATAACGGAACATTCGGATATGAAACATACAAGTATGTGTTCATATGGGTTCATGTTATATGCAAGTGCCTTTAAGTGGTGAATTTACAAAGACTTGCAAAATTTGAGAACATGTCCTGAGACCATAGAGGGTTAAATAAGAGGATAAAACATTACCCATTATACCCTCTGCTAAATCAATGTCCCAAAACGACAACTGGACAGCTCTGATAGTAAAGCAGCTTTTTTCTGATAGGTACATAGTTGGTTTATGCTTTGACTTGACAAACGTTATTGATGTTTCTAGTGTAGACATCCACAAGGTATTGCAAAGTGATGCAATACTACATTTACGCTAACAGAACTGATAGAACTGCTTGTATGCTGACCAGAATGGCAGGGTGAAACCCCCATATAACAACAAAGAACCTGCAGAAAGGTTTAGCTGACACACAAGTGGTCGTGTACCATTTTCCTGTGCAGAATTACTTACACAAACATGATCTGCATGGAAGAACCATCAGCAGGAAACCTCATCTGTGACCTCATCATGAAAGTCAACATATAAAGTATGTAAAACAACATCTACATAAGGCACTAAGATAAGAACTCCCTGCCAAATAGGGCAAGGGGTGGATTTGTTATGCTTTGGGGTTGTGTGGCAGCCAGTGGCACTGGACACATTGCACAGGTAGATGGAAGAATGGATTCCACCAAATATCATCAAATTCTGGAAGTAACTCAGTGACACAGTCAGTCAATAAATTGAAGCTGTAAAAAAGCTGGCTTCTATAACAGGACAGGAATTCAATACCTCAAAATTGACAATGAACTGCTTCATAACTTGAACATCACTGAAAATATGGGGGTAGACTTTAAACATGGTGTACATGCAAGACAGGCCAAGCACACTGCAGGAAGAATGTGGGGAAAAATTAGAACAAGAATGGAAAACATTTAGCTGGCTACAAAAAGCATTTGCAGTCAATGATATCTGCCAAAGTGGGTGTCACTGACAGTCCAAACTTTTGCACATGACACATGTCTCAATTATTACTTCAACAAAAAAAAGCTATTTAGCCAGGGATACACATATTTTGCATACAACAGTATGTCTATTAAACAAGATAGCCTCTTATGAGCATTGTGCTGGAAAGTGCAAAACTATGAATGAACACGTCTGAGTACTGGACCATACTGGATGTTTGGTCTCTAAACAGTCACATCCCTGCATTTTGACAGTCCTTTCCCCTCCAGACTACTACAGGCCTCTTGTTGAGCACAGCAATGAAGCCCTGCTCTATGTAGTCAGCGAAAAGTGCGTTTGTTCAGGCGTTTGTGACTACACCTGAGAAACCCACATCTCTTCCATCAAGTTGCATATTATTATTTCAGTCCAGGTTGAGTCACATTCCATAACAAGTTGGGACAGGAACAGGCAGAGGGCTAGAGAGCTATAGAGACAGAACAGGGAGAGAGAGAGAGAGAGAGAGAGAGGGCATGAGACTGCCTGTGTCTCAATTCTGGCACTGTGCACTCACTATATTCTTGCACTGTATACCATGTACTTCACTATCTAGCACCTGGACTTTTGTACAATAGTATAATTACCAGCCAAATAATTAAACAGAAAATTACGAAGTACCACACAGTTCCTCACATTATTAAATCGCACCTAGTTTAGCAGCTAATGTTAGCAAACTATAACATGCTCAATTGCCATTACAATATATTGAAATCCTTATTTGCATAGTACAAATAGCCTAGAGTACAGTAACATTGCGTAGAACTACAGTGACTGAAGCACAATGATGAAACTCACATTTGAAATTTGACTACAGCCTACTTTGACAGCTCCTCCCGTTCCACTACATAGATCTCTGAAGTCATGTGTCATTCTGTAGTAGGTGTTATGCTCATATTAGGAACTCTGGGTCTAAACATATTTCTCTATGAGAGAAATGAATAGAGTTCAAATTTGCTTCTATCGCACCCTGTGGTAAACAAGACGGTTAAGTTTTGTTCTGTTTTTCCCCAGAATGTCACAGGATCCTCTGAAATATGTTGTTTAACAGTCAAAATATAAATAATGCTACTTATCTGCTACAAACAAGCTAATGCCCCTGCGCACTGAAATGACGAGTATCTCTACTATTAAACTTCAACTCTACAATACACCAACACCAGCTACCCAAACTGTAGTCTAAAACTGCCACATTTGACAAATTGGTTTATGTGGGATATTTTGGTGAGATCGCCAGTCTTATGTCAATTCAGCAGCATTAGCTTGCAAATAGCAATCAGAGGTGAATTTAGTGATCCTGGGGCTCTTGGCCTTAGGGGCCTCCGAGAAGCACATTTTAAAATGGCGCAACAATCTACACTACAAGACATGACATCTTGGCAAGTGAAATCATCTTAAATTTAATTGAGATGTCTAATATTTCTCATTTTGAGATTGTTATAAGAATGGATGACTTTTTTCTCCTCTCAGAACCCAGAAGGACCTTCTCCTCATAATGTATCGCTTAATGCCTTGTATATATCAATCTCTTTACACAGTTGTGTCATCATGTTACAACATAGAATAGTCCATAATAACAGGGACCACACTGAAATAACTGTGACAATCTATTAAAGCTGCGACAAACTATTAAAACAGTTATTTTCAAAATGTACATATATTTTGGAATAGCTTATTTAACATCAGCATGCACTTTATATCTGTTTTGCATTTTTGTAGGGCCTTTGGCTCATGGAAGTTCTAGGTGGCTGCCTACCTTTGCATAGTGCAAAGAATGCTTCTGGTAACAATAGCTGTATTTCAACTTGAAATTCAGAGGACAATCGTCTGCACGGCCAAACATCAGCTTTAGAGCATTTTAGTTCACTACAGGAAGTGACAGTGACGATTTTCCAAAATACCATTCATTTCTATCATAGAGAAAACCAGGTAAGACTCCTCAGAGAGGTCACACAGGCTCGCAGACTTGAGATTGAAAAATTTAGACACTAGATAGTAAAGTCTGTAAGATATAGTGCATGGTGTCAAGAATTGAGACGCAGGGTATGCAACATTCCACATTCTCTTTTTAGTAACAGTACAGTCACTACGTCCTGTTTCATTTCCCAGTGCACTACTTGCACTAAAAGTGACTAGTACACTACAGAAGTGCTTGATTTGAGACATGACCTATATAGTGTCTCAGTTTGTCCCTTTAGAAGCATGTTATTAAAAAATTAGCCACGGAAAACAGCTGTTTTAACATTTTAGCACTGACCCCTCCCAACCCATTACTCTCCTGCCCACTCTATGAGGTGGTCCCCTTTTCCTGTTTTCGCCCCCAAAGCTGGTCTGCTCTCATGGGGTCAATAAAGCGTCCGTCACACTGACATATGGAATTCTCTAGCAGCTTTTTGCTCCAGGCTGCCTGAACCTCATCCCCTCCCAGCTTGTCACTCCCTCCACCGCTAACCAAACACACGCTCTGAGCTGCTCTTCCTGTCATACAGCTCCTTCTGTCTCTCTGGTTGCTTCTTCTAGTTGCTGTGCTTTTCGGACTGACTGTGTCCATAAGTGCATGTAAGTGTGTAAGTGAGTGTCCTCATGGCGTGTGATGGCTCCTACACTGTGGTTATCGTCCCTTTGCAGAACAGTCTGTACAGCCTGGACGCACTGCGATTCTTCCACTGGGTGAGCCATGGTGTATGTGTGTGTGTTTGCGTGTGAGAAAGAAACAGTTCGTATGAATTAGAAATGTATGGATAAAACTTGATATGTGTGTACACATTAGTTGCATTCTTCTTTGAATTAGATTCAAAGCCTGTCAAAGTTGGAGGACACCTTCATTTGAAATGTTACTATTTGGTAAATATATAAAGTAAAAAATGAAAAATGCAATGAAAAAATACCAGCAAAAGTTTTGTTAACACATAGCACTCAGCTCACGTACATCAAACTTGATAGACATATTGATGATGATATGAGAAGTGATAAATTATGATTAAAATAGTGAGTCCCTGATTGGTTGTGCAGTACTGACTTTTGTTTGTTTGTGATGTAATCAAATAGAATAGCTTTTTAATATAGGCATTTAAAAATGAGTATATGTTTTATATAGACCTAAAAAATCACAAAAATCAATAAAATATATAGTTAACTCATTAAAAATCTCTTTATGATGATGCAGTTTTGTTGTGACAGTAGCATTACTGCTTCACATATTCATCACGTTTCAACAATTACAGGCTGTTTAGTAAACATAGTGGTTATTGGGCTGTGCATGTGTGACAGGGATATACTCTAGTCAACAGTTATTAGCTCATGTTTGTGAGTAAGTATGTCATATTATACTTTGCTACCTTAAAACATGAGTACCCGAGTGTGAGTGCCGTAAAAAGGACACTTTGTTACGGACATGATTGAAAAGGCAGAGGTGTGAAGCTGTTGAGCAGCAGTATCTAGAGTAGTCTAACTACTCTAACTAATGTTAGCTCAATTGAGAAACAATGAAAATATAGTTCTCTGACAAATAACATGTTGGCACTCTGTCCACTGAGGAGAAATGACATTGTGTATAAGACTAACAGTCCTCTTCAGCATCTAGCGTGATAGGAGTTAGCTCTATTAGCTCATTAGCTTATCTGAAAAGGCAGCCTCCGTTACTCATTAAACACGAAAACCTACCAGTTTTCTCTCAGCTGTTTTTGAATGATATTTCAAGTGTATTTCTCTGCATGCTGCTACTGATTTTAGTTCCCTGCGGTTGATCTGATATGCCCTCTTGAACTCTTTTGCATATTTGAATATCAAAATGCATATTCTTGATGTGTAATTTGTATTTGGCTTTATAGCAGAGTGGTTAAATCACTCGAAGAAGAGCAATGTTTAAGCTCCAGTGCTCTAATATTAGATATGTCCTTTACGCTATATTACCACCAAACTATGTCACTCTCATGCAGCACATGTGTAATGCAGCTTTATCCTTTCTGTCATCGCAGCCCTTAACAATATGTTAATTATCAAAACTCTTATTGTAATACTAGTACACATACAGTTAATCGTGCAGCCCTAGTAGGTTTTACCAAAGTCCTTATAGGAAAGTTTGTTCACTCAGCGGCCATATTTGTAATGCCGCTGGGCAGTTATTTCAAGCTGTACAATACCAGACTCCTAACTCTTTGAACGAGGAGAGGCCAAAATACTCGAGACTGAAGATTAAACCACCACTTAAAAGCATATTTGAAATTACTGGTAAAATCTCACAAAAATCTCATAAATAGTTTGTAGCATTTGGCTTAAAAGTGCACAAAAAATTGGCTGCTGCGCTTGTGCAGATCTCCACAACAAGGGGGCTTTCCCTGCTTGTGCTGCAATATTGTTGACCCTTCTCTGCAACAACATAACCAGCAAGACGATTGGCTCTTTTTATTGAACGGCAAATTTTCTCTGCGAACAGATGCCATTTTGAGTGTTAAGAGCTTTCCCATTCATATTTCAACCAGTGACCGGTCTCCTCCTTTATAATGTCTTTGGTTTTACCTGAATAATGATAGAATAACTGATAGTGTAGTGTGTTTTGAGTCAACAAATTTGCTGTTCTTTTCTTAGAACTGGGAAGCACATCAAATTAGTTCTTAATTTATAGTATATATCAGTTTTTAAACCTGTGATATTCCTTGAGTATACAAAGCTTTTTCAATTTGACTATAAAGACATGCTTATTTCTATAAAAAGCATTGAACAACTAAGTGCTTCCAAACTTAGATAGATGAGTGGAATAACCCATTCAGTCTTTCAGCCAAATTTGAGCTACACTCCCATCTGTAACTGTAGAACAGAAACCGTATTCTGTGAAATTCTGGCTACAGTGTATGTGAGCTTTGCATGAGTGTTGGTTTTGGTGTTTCTCTGCCAGCTAAGGCAACTAAAGGCTCTGGAGCGGGAGAAGGACAGTCTGTGGATGGGCCTGCAGGTTCTGGAAGAGACCAGACTCTGGTATCAGCACCAACTGGAGAACATCTCAGAAAGACACGCCAGGATTGGCACAAGAGATCAGGAGGAGGAGGTTGGTCCACTGCATTGTGTGATTAGTGATTTCAGGTTGAATATAAAATAAGTCTTGATGTTTTTTTTTTTTAAGTCTTAAAAAGCAATGGTTTGGCTAAAAATCAAGACTGCACATTTTACTCCCTTATCTAAAATGTAGTCAGCTGAGACGCCTGCTGTTGGAAGTCTACTTCTGTAGTTTTATACTGAAGCTTTTAAGCTAATATAGCTAACTAGTGATGGAAGCTTAAAGCCAACTGTTTAGCATCATATAAATCGCATGCCTAAATCACCACTCAAACCATGTCAAGTTAAGTAATCTCAAGTCGACTTGCTTAGTTTCTGACACTGTATGGCATAGTGTTACACATAAAAATGGACAAAAGTACATTGCAAAAGTACTAAAGTCGTAGCAGAAAGCCTGAAGGCTGCTTTTGTCTGTACCCATTGATGTAGTAGCGTGTCATAAAGTTTCATAAAGGGTGTCTTCCCTTCTTTCATTTAATATGATGCCTGTTGCAAGTTACACCTGGATTGCAGCCCTTGTCAGTGAGCACACCTCTTAGACCCACCTGTGTTTATGCTGGTTGTTAAGCAACCACAATGACACTATACTGCGTGTGTGTCTGCATGGTTATGTTGTCATGAAAAGGTGTATCTTTTGACCTTTGTCCTAATAATTTGTTAAAAGAGGTCAGTGAGATATAATTTAATGATTTTAAAAGGTCACCACCCTTTGTTTTTACTGAAGGTTAATTCCTTTTTCCACTGAATGGCCTTTTGTGTTGTGATATATAGCGAGTTATTCATGTATGTGAGTGAAACTAGCTCAGTCTTTGTCCCTGCCAAATGTTGCCAGTCTTCCAAATGTTAACTTAAAAAATGTTGTAAACTTTGAATGGAAGTTAATGGAACCAGAGGTTTTGGTGACGCTTTATTTTGAGTGGTCCTTTTTAGATGAAACAAACACTCAACAGACTCTCAGTAACATGTCAAAAACATATGAGGGTTAGGATTAGGCTCTGGGTTGAGTTTAAGGTTAGGGTTAGGTTTTGGGTAAGGCTGGGTAAGGTTAGGTTTTGTGTAATGGAAGTAACATATTAACAATACATCTACTTAATGTAAATAATGTATCAACAGATCATCTACAGGATATTTACTTCAGTGTATTCAGATGCTTTCACTACTGCTACTTCACTGATATATTGTTGATGTGTTACTGATGATCTGTTAAGAGTTAATCCTCTACAAAGGACCCCTCCAAACAAAGTGTTATAGAGGTTTTTTAGATTCATTTGGAACATTTTTGTTGCTTCATTCATCATGAAATTGGAACACATTATAAAGGATAGCTGTCATTTTCAAATTCTATAAAAATAAAAATGTGACAAAAATGGAGATACAAAGTTTAGTTACAACAGTGACAAAATGTTAATTAGTGCACTACTGTTCAGAAAATTTGGACTTTATTTACAGTAAATGTAGATTTAAATATGATAAACAATGCACCAGTTGTTTCAGATATTAGAAACAAAAAGTTATTAAATGATGATGATTTGATCATGGTGTTTTATATATGAGGCACTCTATGCATTTTATAATAACTTCGTTCTTGCTCTTATACAGCTTTTGTCATTTTTGATTGGTGGTAACTCTGCTCATCACTCTGGATGCCTCAGTCTTGTCTAAGTAGGGGTAGGCTGTGTGATGAAATGTATTGTTATTGTGATAAATTACATCACAATATGTTTTCTGAGCATATTGTGGATATCATTAGTACTTAAAGCCCCAGGTTTGAGTCGGAGAAACTTACAGTGAACAAGCTAATGATGAACAAGAGTTAAGCTTCTAAGCAAAACTGAGCTAGCAAGAACGTCCATTTGTATGTTTACACCCCGTCTCGTCTCCAGGCTTTTTATTTCATTGTTCTGTTTTAAAACATTAGGTTATGAAAAGGTACAAATATGTACTTTTCATCTGGAAAAACGCTTTTAAGGTGCACAATTTGACCTTAGAACCACTGTTGTACCTTTGAGAGAACTTTTACATTGAGAACCTTTATTTCTAGCAGTGTAGTCTGTAAAACACTGGATAAAATTGATTGTATTCATAGTTTTGGGTAGTAATTTCTAAATGTAACACTAGTGGTTCTTTTATGCCTGTTCCAACTTAAAAAAAAGTAAAATATTGTGATACATAGTAGATTACGTTATGATAAAGTATTGTGATATTATGTTTTTTCCATATTGTCCATCCCTATATCAGGACCAAATATCAGTGATCAAAACTTATCATCTATGTGCATCCAATCAGAGCAAATTGAGTGTAGATGGGGGCGGAGCTTATGCGATATACACACTAATACTCAAATGATTGGGTTTGTTTTCTGTTTAAATTGCACATTAATTCTATTGGTTGTGAATTAAGAGCTAAATGTGTTAGAGGGCTCACTAGGTAACTTTTATTTAGCGGAACCAATCTATCCAGATTTGAACACCTCTGCTATACAGGATAAAATTCTATAAAAGACAAACATTGGATTGAATCTTGATCTCAGAGTTGAAAATCATACTGAACATGAATAATGTATGTATTGTTACACCCTACTTCCTGCTAATATTGAAGAAGACTAGCATTATAATAGAGCCATATTGGAGTCACCAATCATATTATGCATTTAACTGCAATATTTTTTATAATATTGAAAACTGTAATTCTAAACTTTTGAATAATTTAAACAGTGAACACTGATAGAGCAGTAAAGCTGCAGCTGTCTCAGGTTAGATGAGTGAAAGTAACCCTGTGTGTGTGTGTGTGAGGAGGGCTGGTCATGTGCTCTTCGTTGTCGGGTGCAGCGTGTAAACGGCAGTCTGGGCAGTTTGCTGAGTGATGCATGTGTGTGGAGCAGTTTGGCTCCTGATGAGAGAGGCGGCTTGGACTGGGAGCTCCGCTGGAACAACGCCACGCTCACACAGGTGAGGACACACAGCAAACCAGACACTGCAGGACACATCAACACTGACCACTGAGCATACTGAGCTTTGAAATCAAGCTTCAAAACTTAAATAAGACTAAAGCACTGTCCAGTAATGCTTATCTATAACTATGGTATCTATTTTGCAGTACTGAACCAAGACTATTAGAGCTAAGCCTTTAGTTCAGGCCATGAATGTCAAAAAAAGAACTCTATAATAATGCTAATTTCTGCTAGCATTCATATGGGTTTTTAGTAGTAAGTTAGCACTAAGCTAACGGCAGTTAACATTTTTGACCATTCTAGATACAACAAAGACATTTGAAGCTTGCAAAAAAGACATTCAGCGCTTTATTTGAAGCTTATAACAGACAGTTTGACAAACATTTTACCTTGTAGCAGTTTTACAGTGATTAATTCTGAGCTCTGGCATAGAACATCTGCTGTTTTCCATCTGGCTGAAATGTACTGGTCAGGCTACTACTGTCAGTGATGTATTTAGGACTTCCAGAAGGCAGAGAGTGACATTTTTCTTTCAAAATTGGTCCCAAAATTGGTCCCAGTGATTAGTTGACTATGACACGTTCAGCTCCCGAAGGCATAACCAGTGGGAGAGCTCATTTGGCTGTATCTACTTAGATACCATGAGAAAAAAATCCAAGTTAAGCTTCCAGTGTTTCCAGTGCTTAACAATGAAATAAGAGTATTACTACGATACTTGCAGAGTTATACATGAAACAAAACTAAATTAATATTATAGACATGTATTTCCTCAGGTCACAGAAATCATTAGGTCCAGAGGATTTCCAGTGAATTGGATTGTCGTGGACTGTCTTAATGTGAGTGTGTTACCTTTCTCTGTTGTTCTTTTACACACAGGAGGTGAGTGAGAGGAATCGGCAGATTTCACTGTTGGAGCATCAGAAAGAGAGTCTTATTCAAGAGCACTATGACATGCACTATGTGTGACTAACCCTTCCCAACACTCACACTCACACACACACTCACACACACACACACACACACACACACACACACACACACTTGGGTATGACCTTTACTAAGTTGTATTCAGTTCTGTTGATCCTGAATGCTGAATTGGTGTCTTATGGGCAAAATATCTGCAAACAGTCATACTTTAACTTTTGTAAATATGTTTGAAAAACTGTACATAAGAAGCATTTTCATATAAAATAATATAATTTTATTTTCTTGTTTGGTTAGATAGTATCACTTTAGCACTAATGTGGGACTTAATGGAAAACGTCCGTGGCTTACTGCATAAACCACTGATACTACTGAAGTTGCGACAGTAGAAAAGTGGACAGACAGAGCACATGCAACTCCAAAACAACAGCACACACTCCTCCAAGAACATCTGGCCTGTAACTGCTTGGTTCACCACTAGAGGGCAGTAGAGGACAAAATGAACAAGCCAACGTGAAAAAGTTATCCAACTTGGGTCAGTTTTTTTTTGCTGTCAAATATGTCCACTAGCACTGCTGCAAAACTGCACAGAAAAGCAAGCCAACTGTATAATTATCATTTTTAGCATTTACAGTGGACCTGCCATCAACAACCATACGCTATATAATCTGTGTAAAAAAATGATGTAGATTTTGCACATTTAATGCAAGAGCCAGTTTTAAAAGCACAAAGATTTTCCCATTTAAAAGGTGCACTTTTTTTTTTTTAGCAATGGACATTTGCTGACTTGAGTGTCCATACAGAAAAATGTACAAAGTGTATTTATCAAATGCATGATTGCAGTGTATTTTAGTTTTCTGTACTTTGTTTAATGTACACCACTGTTCAAAAGCTTACAATGGCAGTCAAAAGTTCGGAATCAGTGTTTTTGATAATATTATACAAATAACTTCACAATTTTCGAGTCATCGAAGGACTCCAGGAAGAAATGCTAAAGCTGCAGCAGGTTCTAAAATGACCGAGACCAAGTTATTATACAATTAATATCAAGAGTTCATCATATTTCAAAAGTGGAGATAAATTTGCAACAGAACAGAACAGATTTGATTATTTTATTACATTTTTGTTCACAGAATTCTTGAAATATTGAAGAAAGCATCCAAAAATACATTTAGGTGTATAAAAAATATTATTTAAATCCATATTGTATAAGTTATTATTTTATATAAAATAACAAAATGTGTTAATATAGCAAGTGATTCCAAAATTTTGAACAATATTATATTTCTGTTACATTAACAAAATGCATTTCAAATAAACAAGAAATGTACTCAGTCACCCAATTTCAGTGTGTAATAATATTTACAGCACTGTCTTCCCATGTGACATATATACATTTGCTAACAGTTAAAATGACGAAATGTTACGTCTTTATGTTTAATTTCCTCATACACTGTAAACTGTTGGTCAAATTTTATTGGTCAAATGTTTTCTAAAATAGTTTTGGAACAGGCAATATAAAAATATGCTAATGCATTTCAGTGTTTGGAGTGCATTTCGGAATGAAAATCCCACAGTTTAATAGAAAGAGCCAATCGGCTTGCTGATAAAGCCACAAGCAGGTATGTACATGCACAGTAGCCAGAACATCCTGAAAAAACACATTTTTGTGTGCAATTTGAGCCTAAGATTTCTGCTATCAATGTCAGATTTTATCATTGATTTCACATATGTTAATGTGGTGCAATTTCAGGTTTCTAAGATTCAGAAAAACAGGAGCCTGATTTTGTTGACTAGAAATAACTGCCTGGGCACATTGCCAAGATAGCTGCAGACTTTAATATAAGGACGTTTATGCTGCCTCGTGAAAGAGGTGCAGCTTCATTAAATTCAATGAATCAAGAATTTATTTTTCTGTTTTAGGAACAGAAAGAGCTACACAATGCTGGACACATTTTGGAGGGACTTTTAATAACATTTTTAATACCATTGGGCTTAAATGGTTAACTGCAGCTAAGTATAGATGATATTTAAATCAACAACTTAACAATTTTGCCTATTTTTTTAACTGAAATGCTGAAACCGGCCACTGCATTTCAGGGAGAATTTTCAAGTGGCTCAGGAAGGGAGTACCAGGCACTTACTGAGGGTATGAGGTGACAATGACTTTAAAAGGTATGCTGTTTCATATACATCAAATAAATAATGATCCAGGGCATATCTTTCTTGAAAAAAATCACGTTTAAGTTAAATTAACATTTGTCTGCTTGTTATCGTCAGGTCACATTGTCAGGGGGCGGCCAACATGATGTTGCGTTGTTGCTAAAGGGAAACAGGGAATAGCCAACCAATCAGTGGCAGGAGGCAGGGCGTAGCTAGAACTTTTAGAATGAGGTGGCCAGGTAAGACTCAGAGATAAATAAACCCAGAGAAACTACTAAAAAATAAATAAATAAATAAAATGGAACAGCATTGCTGTAGTACAGTTACATATAAATTGATGCGTTGGTTCTTCTCTGTACGTAACTAAATCTGTCTATTATTTTCACATTAAAAAAAAAAAACATGACATCAATACAACTACTACCAAAAGTAAACTGGAAGACAAAACTGCTGATGTGATGTATTTTAGTCATTTATAAAGAAATGATGTATTTGCATCAAATAAAAATTAAATGCATCAGTTTTTTCACTGCACAACTTGAAGAAAAACATTTCATGTAGACTGGCCATACAAGTTCTTCATTTAAGTTGCATTCACTACAGGTTAAATGTGAGTCTAATGGTGGAAAGCAAGCCAGACAGAACTGTATAAGGTGATCAACAGCACATGCATGTATTCAGCTGTAAAACGAAAGTATAGCATGGCATGATAAACAACTATAACTGCCTCATTTTTGATAGTTAACTCATCTTATTATTGCATACTTTCGATGACATTCACTCGCCTGTTTGCTGCGTAAATTAGCCTATCACAGCAAGATATGCTAATTATTAAATCAGATCTTCAAGTCTGATTAGTAACTACCCTGGCAGACTTTTATGCTTTATTAATGATAGGTAACTGACTCACTTTCCATAACTGGGGTGGCCAGAAAAGTGGCCATGCTTCATTCCAGGGTGGCCCTTGCCATCACTGGCCACCCCGGCCATCCCTTGGCTACATCTTTGGCAGAAGGCCCTGCTAGACCAATCCCTGACACTAGAGGGAGGCAGAGAGCAGCCTTCTAGTCAATCACTGGCAGTCGGCACCACATGTCTTAGCTCTACTTAAGGAGTGCTCTCCCAGCACCCTGTGCTCAGTTTTGAGTGTCTGCCATGCTGCAAGCTGGTCTCTCTCTGGCTGGTAACTTGGGTTAAAAACCAAAAAAACCCACTTCTTGAGTCTAACCTTTAGTGTGCCCTTCGTTTCCAAACCAAATCTTGAGTCTTCTGACTCACAGCCTAAGTATTGAAAAAAAAGCAAAAAATATGTAAAAAAAAGGTTTCCCTTGGGTTTCATTTGGGTTTATTTCTGGAGTCAGATCTCTGGTGGCTCACCCAATAAACTCTTGCTTTCCAACCCCAGAGTTTGGGGTTGCCACCCCATCACACATGTAAAAGAATAGAAATATGTGCAGTGCAAAGTCCCAGGACTTGTAATGGAGTGCCTGTGTTACTGGCAGTAGTGCTTTGGTTTGCTCTGGGCTTTTCCTGTACTGCCCACTTCTCATTTGCGTTTGCTGATGGAGGAAAGCCTGTCACAACACGTTACAGTTCCTACCCTGGTGGTCTCTCATTGATCTCAGCGGGGTTGATAAGAACTATCTTCACATCACATCACCTACACACACACACACACACACACACACACACACACACACACACACACACAGACATACACACACGCACACTTCCCTCTGTGAAAAACATAAACACACTTAGGCTAGCGATGGCCTGTGGCACTGCCATTCTTGTGCAGGTACACTGAGACTAAACATGACTTCACCCTGCAGCGTGTGGCTACAAGCTGCTGAAACAAAGTCACATCTCATAATCAGAAAGCTCATTTCAAACCACCAGTCAGGGCAAGATTACTATAAACTGAACTGGTGTGGCAGTTGTGATATGAATATATGTGCTTATGCAGAGTTTTCCAGTTTAATAGGTACACCAACCTTATATCTACACTCATTGGCCATTTTATCTGAATGTGCATTTAGGTGCACATGATAGGTTTGTGGTTGCAGACTGTAGGCCGTCTGCTGCTGCACAGTTAAAAGCCCCTCTACCCCATCCATTATAGAAAGGAACCACCATAGGACCACCATTCACTAGATATTTGGATGGTGCACCAGTAGCATGGCAGTCTTCTTTGTACGAGTGTATCAGGCATAGTCCACCAACCAAAAATATTCAGTCAACAGTGCCTTCTGGTTGGGGATCTGGTTGGACCTTATCAAAGTATGAGGACGGCTGCTCTTTGTCAAACTATTTGTCACAAAAAATGAAAAAAAAAAAAAATTAATATTCAAAACATGAAAAACATAAACTTATAGAACAATTAATTTTCATTGAACTATTGAATTCGCTCTGACAAAAAGTTGCTGCTCTAAGACCAGGTGCTTTGGTTTCTCTGCTGTCTTTTTCACAGAATATTTACTGTAATGATTATCCTGTTTTCATTATGTCTTTTAATACTAAATTCTTCATAAAAATGTCTATTTTTCATATAAGGAACACACATTTACTTTTTCTTTTAATGAGAAAGTGTTTTAATTTCCATCTGTCTTCAATTTGTTGGTTCTCATTGTTCACTTTATGCTTTTTAGCTGTAGTCATGACCGTAAATTAATTTGCAGTTTTGTCAGAGAAATAAAGGTCTTACATATTACCTAACTTTGTTAACAACAGACTGCAACACACGTGCAACATGTTGTAAGTTTACAAAAAGGTGAAAGGAAAAATGGCTGCATATTTGCTGGTGGGCTCAGGCCCCGAGTGAGGGGGTCATGTTCAACCAACTAATCATCATGCCCAACTAAACCCACTACACTTTGCCCATGCTTCTATAGCAGCATGTGGCAAAAAACCAATCAAAGCCAAAGTAAACTTTGTGTGCACCATATACTGCTTGCCACAGTCGCTTCATATTAAAGGCTACATTGATTTATTATAGTTGGGTTTGAATGCATCACTCTGCATTGGCTGCATTTTAGGGATGCACTGCATGTTGTGGGAAGATAAATTAGCAGAATTCCTAAATGGTTAGAACAGGGCTGCCAAAAAAATGGCAAAGTTAGCCTATGAGGATGTTTGATTTGGCCTGCCAGAAAGTTACCATAACCCCACCGCCTTTCTAAAATTCTATTTCTGAAATATATCAATAACAACATATAGTGCACTATTTGTATTTTATTTTTTCATTTCAGCCCTTAGAGTACTGCAAATATCTAACTTTTGCTGCATATGTGAGTCTTTTCTTGACTATTTCCTAAATTTGTGGCTTCTTTAAAGAAATCTGCAGTACAATGTTTTCCTTAGCTGTGGACATGCTGGTAGATGTGTCTAAATAAGTGGCAAGTAACTGTATGATGCTTCACAAAGTGTGGTTCAGGGATTTGAGTAACTTTCTCTTCTAGTATAAATATGGACACCATTATCTGAAGGCAGTTTACATTTTGGTGAAATAGA